CTTTTTTTTTTTTTTAATTGAGCAATTCTTCTTCTGCCAAAAGCCTTCACAAAGGCCTTAGGTTTTAGAATCTCCCTTTACAGTCAAAATTCCAATACCTAAATTAAAAACTGGAAGCATAAACTCTTACCAGACTATTGCACTGATAAACCCAGAGGCTGCATTCTTCAGAGGCTGCATCTGTTGTCTTCAAAGCCAGTAAACTTTTTCCTGCTCCCAGACCATCATCATAGCAGACCATCCGTACAATTAAATAGAGAGCGTGCCTGTGTAGCACGTCCTGAAACCACACAGCAAACAGAAGTTACTCTGGAACAGTTCAACAGCTATTTCAGTTTTCCACCTGTTTATATTCTCTCTTACAAAAGAATACTTCAGATTTATTTACAGGAGAAAAATATTCCATAGTAATTTTTTTTTTTTTTAAATTGAGAGTTTAAAGATTTTAAAAAGTGGCAGTTTAACACAACTTTAGCTTTAATTTTTGCTTCTATTTTAGAATTGCATTCCTGTGTGGACTGTGAAGACAAGCTAAGAGTTGTTCGGTCTAGAGAAGAGAAGGCTCTTGGGAAGACCTTTAGCACCTTCCAGTACCTGAAAGGCCTACAAGAAAGCTGGAGAGGGACTTTTCACAGAGCATGGAGTGACAGGACAAAGGGGAATGGCTTTAAGCTGAAAGAGAGTAGGTTTAGACTGAACTGGCACAGGTTGCTTAGGGAAGTGGTGGATACCCTATCCCTGGAGTGTTCAAGGTCAGGTTGGATGGGGCTTTGAGCAGCCTGGTTTAGTGGGAGGTTTCCCTGCCCATGGCAGAGAGCTGGAACTACAAGACCTTAAAGATCCCTTCCAACCCAAACCATTCTGTGATTCGATGACTACACTGCTGTCCATACTAGGAAAGCACACATTCACTTTCCACCTTCCCTCCTTCGCCCTCTGGGACAGGTGGGACACTGTACCTCAGGCACAGATGTAAATTAAAACAGCTTCTTACTTTTCCAGTATTTTTCCAGACAATCCCTTGTCTTGGTTCTGTACACACAAGGAACTTGTCCCAAAACAGGGTACAGACAAGGTCAGTTGCTTTGGGAGGTAGCAGCCATGTGGCTGTAGCCAGGCTGTTTGTGGCCTGAGCCACAGGGTATGTCCTGATTGTTCCACAGACCTTGTCTGGGACACTTCCACTCTCCACCACCCCTGCAGGGTTTCACCATAGTCCCAACACTTCCTATTTTGGCCCTTCTAAAAAGGGGTTGGTTAAAGTCATCCAGCACAAGGTCTCTGCAGACCTACCCTACAACAAAGCCTTTCTTCTCCAGCCATCCTACCCTCCAATCATACTCATCTGGTTTATTCCAATCGTACCATCTCCAGGGCCTTAGCAACTCAAGACAGCTCTGTTTCCATATTCAAGGCATTGAACACCTTGGCTCTCTCAGTAGCTGAAGGGTCCTTGATGCAGAAGCTGTAAAAATGGACAGTGAGCTGCTGCCTGCCACAAAACCTTCCAGGGAGAGCCCTCCACCATGCTGAAAAACATCTCCCTCCCTGACGCTCACTCGGCAGTTGCTCACAATTGCTCACACCATCACCAACCATCACAGCTCCAAGGGCAGCTGGAGCCCACGGGGAACTTACTGGATCAACCCTCCAGTCTCTGTATGAAAGATGCCAAGATTGTTCACCAAATTACTAGTAACTTTCAAGAGTTACTTGCCCTGAACTTGCTACAGTGCTAACATGCATGTGGATTATCACCAGGTGAGGGAGGATGAAATTATTTGAAGTACACAGTCTCCTTGTAAATTAATTTCCTCCCCTCCTATCAGTATTTTGGAACTCTAAGAAAAGAGCTTGGTGAACTAACATACTAAAGGACAAATTAAATGTCAACAGTGACACAGATGCAAAAAGCCAGAATTTGGGACACACAATGCAATGCAATAAAACTCTCTGCAAGCTAGCTTAACCACAGGCTTTATCAGCTTGTGCATGCTTTCAGCTCTAAGACAGAAAAATGATGGATGACAGTCTTAAAATTACCTACTAGATCTTTATCAAAGCACAAAGGAATTCAAGTAATAGTGTAATCTCTGTTTTAATGAGAATTAAGAATTTAGAAGGACAGCAAAAACAGAACCCCAAAAAATTCAAAGTCTGAGTAACAACTACTACCCTTCCTCCCAGGCATTAGAAACAAGTGCTTTTTTTTTCTGAAGGGACCAGAGGAAACTTTTTGGCTCCCTTCAGAGCATTCAGCTATTGAGCAATGCTATTCTCTGTCCTCATACTCAAAGCTTTTATGAACAGGCACTGCTGGGTTGCTGATGGGTCATGACTTCATAAGGCCAAGTATTTATGGTATCTGGGGCTCTGAGGGCAACCAGAAGGAAACCACATGGCTGCAATACAGAGCTACACAAAGGCAACTGGAGGGCCCTGGGGAAGAGACCGGATTTTTATTTTTAGCAAAAAAGCTACTTGAAATGCACTGAGGGAAAAGCAACAAGTAGGAAATGATGCAAACAAAAAGTAGGCTTGATCAATAAAGTGGAATCATGAGGCTTTACTGCTGGAGTGAACTCACACTCTTGGATCAGGAATGCAAGGCTGGAACTTTAAAAAGGTGGGCAACTCAGGTATTCTTAACACCATCTTTTGTTTTTCCCTCTCCCCAGTAACACCAGCGGGAACTGCAGGCTGAGGAACCACTGGTCTTGGCCACCACAGTCACACTACTTTTCCCCATGAGAGAATGGCAAGAAAGCCACAGGGAAAGGAAGATGTGCCCAAAGAGCATATACGCTTGCCTGCCTTTCTTCTGGTGCTCTATCTCAAAAGGAATGACTTTTTGTCATAAATCCAACCAGGAAAATACAGAACCCCGTGGAGATATGACATGAAGCAGTGCTGCTGTGAGAGCTTGCTTGTTTGACTTCTGCTTAAAGTCAGAAATGACATTTTAGTCACACAGATCATCCATCAGAGAAATAAATGAAGGCACTTTTCAACTCTCATCAGAAAGACAAGTTTGTGTGAAGCACTTACATATTGATCAGATGTTGAAACTTTAATGCCGTATTTGGAAACTCCCATAATAAACTCCTCTTCACCTGGAACAAAAGGTAACTTTCCATCTTGCTTTGGAGGGAAACAAACAAAAGCCTTTAGTGCAGACAGAAGAACATGAACAATGAAGATACATAACAGAAAATGTGTTTATGTGTACTTGGGTCCACTGGGACAGCAACACCACGAACCCTGCTCAGATTCTGCTGTGTGGGGTCCTCCTGCCATTCGTGGCCTCATCCGGTCTCTTCACAGCATGTGAAATATATTCAGGGGAGACTGGACATTAGGAAGCATTTCTTTATTGAGAGGGTGACCAAACCCTGGAACAGGCCTCTTAGAGTGGTGGTTGATGCCCCAAGCCTGTCAGTGTTTAAGAGGCATTTGGACAATGCCCTTAACAACATGTTTAACTGCTGGTCGGCCCTGAAGTGGTTGGGCAGCTGAGCTGATGATCCCTGTGGGTCCCTTCCAACTGCAACACTCTATTCTGCTCTATTCTATTCTACTCTAAATATTACATGCTTCAAGAAAGGAATTTATCATCTCAGGGGAGAGTTTGGCCCTGTAGTCAAATCAGATCGGCTGAAAAATCGTGCATGGTCTGTCATGCTGCAGCGACCCGAGGTGATCCGTGTTCCACACCGGCACCACTTCATTACTTGGCTGTAAAAACTGACTTAGCATGTATTCAGATTCTTGAAATGCCAAGTTGCTATATGATAAACAGGCATTCTGTGCTTTTAAAGACACAAACAATCAGCTACCTAATGAGAACAGCCAATTATGGCTTTTAGCACAGAAAGTAAGTGCAAGCAACCACAGTTTGGCAAGGATAACCCAAATATTATTCAGGTTCTTTGGTCACAGGTTCATGAGTGATTATGAGCAGAAACTTGATGTTTTCCTCTGCAGGAAAACTTCTACAGTGCTGAGGAAATCTGGAGGAGATATTCTTTCCCGGATACTAATTTTAACAGTGCTGGAGGCAAGGTAACAACTTTCAGATGGGATACTGGTTCAGTAAGGACTCATGGAAAAGGCCTTCACTTCTGCAGAACGGCATTTTGGGGGCATCTTCCCGCTTACTCAGCATGACAGAACTGAGTGTGATAGCTTTTGAGATTCATAGCTTAATGCTTTTTTAAAAATGTGCTACTTTATTCAACTAAGTCTAAAATTTACAAAGAAAGACAGATCATGTGATAATATGAAAGAACACACCTAAGCTTAAGATGTTCTGACATCATTGTTACTGTCTTTTGTAACCCACTTACCTGTGCAACATCTATGTAATTTATCAAGTCCAATGGCCCCTCAAGACTTTTGCTCTCATTATATTTCAATTTTTCAATGGCACCAACATATTTAACTCTGAATTCTGCGCAGGTATCGGAATTACTATTGCTTTGTCCTGCAACAAAACAAAGACATGTTGAAGATTTCCAGAATTGTAATGCTGTTCTAAGTGGTGTTAACAGGGCTATCTTATTATATTCCCTAATTTTACAGACTTTCATCAAACACTTATCACTACTCTTTAATGAACTGCCTTGGGCTGATTCAGAACAGCCCCTGGTAAAAGCAGCAGTTTCATATGAATCCAAGATATATCATAGTTTATACCAATTCAAATGTGGAGTTAACAACCTTGAATCAGAAAACATAGAAAAGATGGTTCTATTTTTCTCTATTTATTTGTTTTAAATTAACTGTTTGGCCCAACAGTGATACACTGTGATCTGGTGAGCAAGAACAAGTAAAACCGAATCTTATTTCCATTATCTCAGTGCAAATGTAAATTTGGAAAAGCAGGAAACAGCATCCAAAAAGCTATACCTGATTTATGCTGGTAACAGACCAGTAACACAATTAAGTTTCTCTTACTCAGACACTTCTTTACTTCAAAAACAGTGGCTTAATCCAAAATGAATCATTAATAATCCTTCAGAGACCTAGGACTACGCACGTATTAGTCACCAGGCTATCTAACAGATTCACTATTACTGAAAATACCTATTTTTAACCTTTTCCATTGCTGCTGTTTTATATGAACACACATAAAGTTAATCCTGCTCCATCCACATCTGCTCAAGCTCTGATTACATACCTGAACTTTTTGTGGAGTCTGTATCTAGACTGGCCACAGTACTGGACCTGGAAAGTCCCCCGAGACTGGAATCTACAGACTAAGAAAAATAAACAGCATCATCAGAAAGTTACTGAGAATGTTTTAACAATTCACTTCTAGATGTCTTTCCTAAACTCTTTTTTAAAAATAAAACAAAGAGAGAACACACCACACTCAGCTTACCTTGCTTTTGGTGCTGATTTCACTGCTTTGGGAGCTGCTGCTGCTGTGTCGCTTTTTTCCTTTTCTAAACATCTTTTCATAATTGGATCAAGGAAGACCTTCTAGGTAGGAAAAATAAAAATTAAAGCTTGTTATATCATCAAGGGAAGGAGTTCCTGGCAAACACCAGTGACTGTGCCCAAAGGGACATAAAATGGACTCTTGTAAAGGACTCTTGGAATGGGTATAGGAATGTTCCTCTGGTGCTCTTCATGTGTGGCTGGAGAAAGTTCCTCAAGCTCTGTGCTAAAACTTCCCTAACCTTCTGAATCATCAAAAAATGCCACTACCTAGTTTAAAGTCTGTTGCAAAGGTCAGTTTCTAATGCATATATAGATTTAGTTTGAGAAATAAGACAAAGTTTAAAATTTATATTCCCACCTAAATGCATTAATGATTTTGTGGCTACCACCTAAGTGCCCTACAAAGTGCATCCAATGCAATCCCTGCTCCAATGACTATGCTTTCATCTAAAACAAACAAACAAAAAAATTCAACCCTCCCCAGAAAGCTCCTAAAAAAACCCAACCCAAACCTGTTTCTGAAGAACTACTGATTGGAATACTTGTAGGAGCTGCCATTACTACTTAACATATTCCTGGAAATTAAAGCAAAATGCATATTACATTTACTGCCTCAGAAGTGAGTTGCTGGGCGTCCTGTGAGCATTTTCCCTGGATCTGCTCTACTACCTCAACTGCTCCACTCAACATTTGGCTGGGCAGTGACAAGCAGCAGGATGGTGGCTCCCAGTCAGAGACTGCTGAAACCCTATTTCTCAGCTTCAGGGACGAATATTTTAAAAACAAAACTTCAGAAACTTTGAGCAGGCGGAAGAAAGAGGACGAAGGAAGACAGTTCACACTGCAGAAAATAATGGAAGACGCACAAGAGGAAACTTGGATGTGCGGTGCAGTGATGGATTACAGTCCCCAGACCGCTGCTGGGTCCCTCTTTAAGCAAACACCTCGTCCCTGGCAGGCTAAAAGCCGCTCTCAGCAACAAGGCCCCGCGGTACCCGGCACACCCGCATCCCCCGGGCTGCTCCAGCCTCCAGCATGGATCTGATGGATCCGGCAGCCCCTCCTTCACAGCAGCTGCTGCCGCCGCAAGAGCAAATCCGCCGACTCTGCCTGCACTCTCCGCCAAAGACACAACTCAAAGCTTAGCATGCCCTTCTGCACGGGCCATGTTAAGGCATGGGGCGATGAGGGATGTCTCAGCAGCTCCCGGCTGAGCACACGGGTCTCCCTCGGTGCACCTTTGCCCCTGCGGGTGCGAGAAGCAGCCCGGAGCAGCCGGGCAGGGCAGCGCCGCATCCCGCCCCTGCTGTCCCCCCGCCTCTCCCTCTGTTCCTGGACACCCCGATACCCACGGAGCGCTCACCCCGATACCCACGGAGCGCTCACCCCGATACCCACGGAGCGCTCACCCCGCTCCCTCAGCCCCGTCCGGCGCCGCCGCTCCCGGGAGCGCCGGGCCCGCTCTCCGCTCCCGATGCCGTTCCGGGTCGCGGGGGCGGGCTCAGGAAGCGGGAGGCGGGAGCGGGAAGCGGAAGGCGGGCCGGGATCGGCACCATGTCGGCCAAGCGCAAAGCCGAGGCGCTGATCCCGGCCGAGGAGAGCGACCAGCTGCTCATCCGGCCCCTGTGAGCGCCGGGAGCCGCGCCTGGGAGCGGGGGGCTCGGGGGGACGGGGGGTCGGTGGATGCGGTAGTGTTGGAAGTTGCTTTTCTTTCCCCAGTAGGGATGTCACTGCAGTCCGAGGGTGTTTCTGTTGCCTTCTGAACAGCCAAGATGCTACTTCGGGCTTATTCAGCCCGAGGTGGTTTGTTATTTAAGTAAACTTTCCATGCCTTGTACTGTCAGTGGTCTGAGAGCCGAGTGCTCAGATATGCGGTAAAAACCATAAAAAGAGACAAAAATAATTTCCTCAGACAGATTATTTTTGTTGCGTTGCATAGGGTCTCATACCCATAAATATAACTCTGAGGTCTCATATCCATAATACGACCATAAGATAAATGTAACTTCTGTTACTTTAAATATCTGAGCTTAAAAGGACCGCGCAGTTGTTATTTCTGAACAGAAGAATAATCCCAATGAAGGCATGCAGTGTACAAGTTATGTATGTATGCTGTGGGCTGTTTTAATCCTCACTGACTTTGATATCCTTTTTCAGAGGTGCTGGCCAAGAAGTAGGAAGGTCATGCATTATTCTGGAATTTAAAGGAAGAAAAATAATGGTAATTATTGCATGAATGTATTTGTATGACCTCTCATTACGGTACTTCACCTTAAATTCTCCACACTGCAGTCAGACCACAGAGGCTGTCCTGTAAAATAAATCCATGTCCCCAAACAAAACGTATGTGTCCAGAGTGCAGATTCTAAAACTTTCACATTCTGGGGATTAATGGAACTTAAGGTTGATGTTTACCAACAGTGTAAGCAGTCACATATAAACACATAGGTGTCTCTCTTCGCCATTTCCAGTGACATCCTCAGCTGGTGGCTGAAATAAGTTGCATACACTGGTTCTGTGTCGTCAGGTGGTGTTGAAGTGTGGCTGAAGGCTTGCGTGGTACAAAATTGTGAACAAAGTTTCCCAGTGGAGAGAAGTCATTTAAACATAAGCCCAGCATGACAATGTGGACCTGCTGAGCCAGTCTAGAGGAGGCCACGAAGATGGTCAGAGGGCTGGAGCATCTCTCCTTTTGGGGGGAAGGCTGAGAGTTGGGACTGTTCTCCTGGAGAAGGGAGGGCTCTGGGGAGACCTTAGAGCAGCCTTTCAGTCCCCAGAGGAGCCTACAAAGAGCCAGGGACAGGCTTATTACAAGGGTGTGTAGCGACAGGATAAGGGGGGGTGGTTTTAACCTAAAAGAGGAGAGATTTAGACTCGATGTTGGGAAGAAGTTCTTCATTGTGAGGGTGGTGAGGCATGGGAACAGGTTGTCCAGAGAAGCTGTGGATGCGCCATCCCTGGAAGTGTTCAAGGCCAGGTTGGATGGAGCAGCCTGGTCTGGTGGAAGATGACCCTCTCCGTGGCAGGGGGGTTGGAACTAGATGATCTTTGATGTCTCTCACAAGCCAAACCATTCTATATGAAATCCAATGCTAAAAGCAGTGTTTAATGAAAAAAATACTTTTTTTTTGCATGATGCTAAAAGTTACTAGTCCCTAATAAATACATCTTAGACCAAAATGGAAGAGGGCTTTTTATATGTTCTGTTAGAAGCTATAACTTTCTTTCATTTTTCAGCTTGATTGTGGAATCCATCCTGGGCTGGAAGGAATGGATGCTCTTCCTTACATTGATTTGATAGATCCTGCTGAGATCGATCTGCTCCTCATCAGTCAGTAAGTTGCACCTAAAAAACCAAATAACTGAGGTTATAGTCTGAACTGTGTTCACTTCTAGGTTATTAAGAGAGGCTTAAAATAGGTGTTATATAGATGGTATTGTAAAATGTTAGTTTCCAGCTTATTTTAAAAAAAGTCTGAAGGATCTTTACTTAGGATTAAGGACTGAATGTTAAGGATGTTCATTCACTTTTGACATTACAACTCTCCTCTGAGTTTGCTGTGATTTTTGACTCTTTAATAACCTGGCCTGCTTTAACATCATTGTGACAGCTTCTAGAGTGAGTTTTCTACACAAAGTAGAATGTGGTTTAAGTATTGCTTAGTGGCTGAGAGACGAGGAGAGCCATTTGTAAATGATTTAACCAGTCATAAACAGATCTCTGTAAAATTCTGAGTTTTTGTGGTATGTGCTTGTTCTATCTGTATTTCGAAACTACTTTCTTAAGATGTGTCAAACTAGAATTGTGAACAAATAATTTAATTTTAATTAGATCATGTTTTAATCTATAGTGTGCTATAGTGTGCAGCATGGAAAATTAGGATCATATTTGTCAGCTGTCTTATATCTTTGATGTTGATAGTGTTGCTGGTTCCTTTATTTTTCTCCCTCTAAATTTATATGTAAATTACAAGAGAAAGTTAATTCTGATATCAGCTAAAACTTTGGCAATTAATGGAGAATTTTCTGTATTATTCTCACTTTTTCTTGGTTGTGTTTCTAGTCACTGTTGTGCAGAATACAGACCAGCACAGTTAGCAACAAGGTTGAAAATTCTGTTTCTGGATTCTCATGACACCACGTGAATTCAGTGAAGTAGCGAATTATATATGTTATGTGATATGTGATATGAATGTATTAACTGGATGTGTGTGTCTGTTTTAAGTTTCCATTTAGATCACTGTGGGGCTTTACCGTGGTTTTTGCAGAAAACAAGTTTTAAAGGAAGGACGTTTATGACTCATGCCACAAAAGCTATTTACAGATGGCTTCTTTCAGACTATGTTAAAGTCAGGTAAGGTAAACTGTGGGTTGTCTCCTCAGTTCCTGGATTATTTCACCTATATATCCATAGGAAATTTAAGATGGAGCCACCAAAGGTGGCTGGATGAACATAGATGTTGTCACAAGTAGCAACATTATACATGAACAGGTTAGAAGTAATGAATCATGTTACTGCCTCATGTGTCTCTCAAGTAATTTTCTATCAATCCAAAAAAATATTCCCTTCTTTTCTCTCATTCTTTTCATTTGCCTTATTTGGAGCTTTAATGGTATCCCTTTTTTTCCCCACATATCTCTTAAGACACACTTTTGTTCTCGTGCTTTTTAATGTATGTTTTTTCTTAAGCTTCACTAAAGTAGTTAATTTTAAGCCCCTAAAGATACAAGTAACTCTTCAGGACAAGGGCAGATTAAATATGGAAAAGTGTTACTTACATGTTGGGGATTTTTCTCTTTCTTTTTTTTTTTTTTTTTTACCTCTTTTTCTCTCGTGTTACATGCCTTGACACATCATTTCTGTGAGACTGCAATGGTCCTGAGCATATCTCAACTCAGCAGATTTGAGCCTGAGTGAGAAACCCGATAAACAGTCCTCTTTTAACTTGTTTGTCCTGGGCTGATGGGAAAAGTGTGGATCAGTGTGGTTTTTCAGGACTGTTACAAGCTAAATGGCAGATCTCTGGTCAGGGCTGGGGATCTGTTGGTACTTTAGAGAAACACAGAACAGATTCTGAACTGAGAATGGTGTCCTAGCATGGCTTTTCAAAAGAAAGCAGCTTTAACTCTTCTTAGGTGAGCTACATCAGAGTACCTGGACTTGATTTCTAACCCAGGAGATGTGGTGTTAATGGACTGGAAGTCTTTCTGTCAGTGGGGAAAAATCCAGGAAGTGCTTTTTGCAGCTGTTAGGATGAGCTGATACTCAGCCACTTCCCTTCTATCCAGTAACATCTCAGCAGATGACATGCTGTACACAGAGACAGACCTCGAGGAGAGCATGGACAAGATTGAGACCATCAACTTCCATGAAGTGAAGGAGGTGGCAGGAATCAAATTCTGGTGTTACCACGCAGGCCACGTCCTGGGAGCAGCCATGTTTATGATTGAAATAGCTGGTGTGAAGGTATTTTATTTTCATAACGCAAGTTGATATTAAGCCTCGATTCTAATGTAGTGATTAATTATTTATTGTTGTCTGTTAAGTCCCACCACTGTGGCTGCAGCTGTCAAATGGACTTGGACTCAAATCAGGGTGGGAGGCCTTGGTCTAGGACAGGTATTTAATGTCTTTGAGTCACTAGCAAGTGGCACATATTGAATTAGGCGAGATGTTTGGATTGTGTGGGAGTCTGAGATATGACTCAGACTTGGAACCCATAAATGTGCAGTTTTCCTTGCCGGTCTGCTGGTCTGCTCAGAGGTAGTTGTTAGCTGAGTCAGTCTTATGGGAACTGCATTTTAGTAAAATCTATGAACAGCTGTTTGTTTCTGTAATTCTGATTTGCCATGTCTGCCTGTCTCAAGTGCCTACGTGGCATTTGTCAAAGTATGCGAGTTTTGTTTTTCTCATGACACTCTTATGCTAAAGTACCTAAAGAAATAGGATTATTATTAGTTTTAGGCACAGAGAGTTTTGAAACTATCCGTTTGGGCACAGAGAGTTGCATTCCACCCTACGGTTAAAGAATCCATTAAAAATAAGAGTAAAAATTTCTTCTTGGTGTAATGGGGTATGTGGTCGTTCCATCTGGAAAAAATCTACTTTTTTTTAGTATCAGAAAATTTTTAATAAGTAATTTTATTAGATTATTCATTACATTTGCCTTCTGATATGTAAATGTCGTTTTCTTTTTACTTCCACTTAGGACCTGCTGTATTTTAATGTTATGTCAGTTTTTACTTCTTAAGAGTCAGTGCATGTATGCAAAAAGGTGGAAATGGCACCTTTATATCCCAGATGTTGGAATTACGGTACTGCTTGAAGTACCTTTACTACTGGAGTTTAAATATTTGTAGTGGGGTACTACTGACCTAATTTTGTAAGCACATCAGAGGAATCTTATTTAAAGCTGACCTTTCTTATCATAAATTCCTTTAAACCATTTTTGCTTAAAAAAAACTGTCC